TTTCTAAAGTCTTGAATAAAATCTTAAATCTTGTAGAACTCTTGTACCGGTAGCCTACATCTATTACTCATCTAGTTTTAGACCAACTGCACTCACTCAAGCCACAACAATCAAGAGACAATTTGATTAAAAATAAGAGTGGAAGGAAAATGAAACCAAAGCTTCTAAGCACCAATTACAGAATTCTTAATAAGGTTGTGTGATTTAAGCAAAGAGTATTAAACAAGTAAAACTAACATCTATCTATTATGACAGAATTCGCTCAACTGAGCAAAAAATAATAATCTGCTGTTTTAAAACTAAACAAAGCAAAAATGTTGAGTTTAACTCTTAGCAACCCTAAATACTCCTACCTCCTACTTGATCAAATTTTACATGGTGTGAATTTCAATTCTTTCTCTTGTTCAGAATCTGACTATGGTTAAACATTCAAATGAAGGACCAGATGCAGTTAGATAACAATTCATATTTAAACCATTATGGGCCTAAAGAAAGTTATTCAACAACATTGGATCTTTCAAAGTGAATTCAAGAAATAATTTACTATAATTTGCAATTTATAATTTACCTTTTCATTTTGATTACCCCAGAGGCCAAAAACACCATTCGTCCAAATCTTTAATCGTCCGTGTACGCAATAACTTGAGTATTTTTGTCCATTGATGAAATTTGGTTTAAAGGTGTAAGGCGGGATAAACTTGAATGAGTTTGCAAACCAGCATGAAAGGGGTTTTACGGGTGGTTTTATGGGGTATAAAAAAGGTTTTCTAATTTTTTACCCTCAAAGAACAAAATTTGCCAATTTCTCTCTAGAACTTTTTAACGAGCTTGAAAAAACAAATAATTTAGTATATCAAAGTGTTTCTGTACAGTTATTGGTAAAGGAGAAAATTTAAAAAATTATAAATTTATAATTCCAACGTTATTCTTATGGAGAAGATTGTAAAATGTTAAAGTCGCTTGTTTATAGATATACTAGCTGTTGTACCCGTGCTTTGCAACGGGAAGAGGACACAAAATAGAAACATTTTGATCTTAACATTTGTTGTATAAAATAGTTACACTTCCAACACTGTCCTAACCAACGTTGTAAAAAAATAGTAGAATTGCATCCTGTTGGCAAACATTATAACTTTCTAATGTTATTTAATATCATAGAACCAACTTGTGTACCTAGTTGAAACAGCTGACAATTACTCATAAGGTTAACATGGGAATCTCCAGAGCCACTGGGGCTGAGCCCAAAAGGACTTTTGAGATAAGAATGTGTCGATATGCTAATCGGGAATGTGAGCTATCATCACACCAAATTTCAGCCCAATCTGACCAGTATTTTTCGCGTTTTCTTGTCACAAACATACATACCCTACATCCAAACTTTCTCATCTAAATATATAAAAGGCAAAGCCCTCACTGACTCACTCACTCACTCATCACTAATTCTCCCACTTCCCATTTACCTAGGAGGCTGAAATTCGGTACACCGATTCTTTCGGCATTAAATAGGAAAACTAAGTAGTTTTTATTCTGATCGGGCTTTCGGGCTCCGCCCCAGTGGCTCTGGAGTTTCCCATGTTAAACTTATGATTTTTTATATTTAAAAGGAATTTCTTAACAGCTGTTTCATATTAAACAAGTTGGTTCTGTTCTATGATGATCAATAGCATTAAAGTTAAAAGGATTACCAACAGGGTGCAGCACTATTATTTTTTTAAATTTATGACTACCGGTACAGCCAATTTGCAACCAAAAGGTGAGTGAGCGTAGCAAACGAACTTCAACCTGGAAGCGAGTTAGCGTAGCGAACGAGCTAACCTGAAGGCAAGTGAGCGGAGTGAACGAGCTCCAACCTAAAGGTGAGTGAGCGTAGAGAACGAACTTCAACCAGGACGTGATTGAGCCATGCGAACGAGCTCACTTGTGAAGTTGAACAGTTGAAGTTGGGCCTTATATATAATACGTGAAGGCGATTTCTACGAAACACTAACTCCTCCGTTAATAATGGACGGATTTTTGCAAACGACGTGTCAAAATAAAGTATTTTTTGTGTAGACGCCCCCTTTGACCAATTCCTGTAATAAAAATCCTTGGGCTTTGCCCCACAGGACATCAAAGTTGGAGTTTCTCCCATAAGATTAACATGCGGGAATATAAATATTTAATTGGAAACTTTGTCCCCACTAATTTGAGAGAACGGCTGGGCGTAGAAACTTGGTAGAGGTGTCCAAAGAAAGGTCTTGGTCTGTAGATGAGTTATCAAAAGAAAAACTAATCAAAATCCCTTCGGACTCTGCCCCAGAAGCCTTTAAAGATCCCTCCACAGAGTTGTTTACATTTTGGCCATGTGAATAATACTTTTTAATGAAACAGCTGTTCATTTTTAAATTGTATTTCAAACAACACACATTTATTGGGAGTTACTGAATTCTACCAAATAAGTATTTGCAATGTTATTTTCTGATTTTAAAATTGATTTTCTTCTTTATCATGTCATGTTTTGCAATATAACGTTCCATTACAAAATCAGTGGAAAATCCTTTTATCACAGTAACTCTTATTTAACAATAATTATTTCTTATTGAACTATCTTATATCTATTGTACGGGTTGGTGTATGCCTTTTTCACCACTTTTGGCTATATTTTATCATATTATTCTAGACAGATCATCATAGGTTCGTGAGATTATTGTCATACATGTTTTCAATCATTGGAAAAATCTTCGATTGTGTAATACAATACAGTACAAAATAATACAAGTGCAGAAGTGTCTTTTAGCTTTAACATTAACCCCACAACCGATTTCTCAAAACTATACTAGAGGGTAATTCATTGGCACAGAAGTACGATATGAACTGATGCGACGTGACAAAGGAAAAATCAAACTTTCACTGTGACGGATGGACCTCCCTTTCAAGTTAGAACGTGTCTCCTCAACAAGGAGATATTTTCTCACAAATAAAATCATAGATTTAATCTTACACTGATGAAATCGGGGAAGTTTTTAACTAATAAAAAAGATCCACCAATACGGTTTTAATACTATTTAAAGATTCTTCCAAAGTATGGGAAATATCGTATTCGTTGAATGATCAACCATTGGTAACTAACGCAATTAATATCATTATTGTTTTTACACTTATTAATCTTTAAACAATGCTAAAGAAATGCTCAAAATATGTATAATTTCACTCAATTTATCGCAGTTAGATGAATTAGCGTAAGCCTTGAAAGTAACCGTCGATTTCGACGGGTTTCACCTAGTTTGTAAATAATATTAAGTAAGAGAAGATGATCTGATGTCACCTGTCTGCCATGTTATCTTTGGGACGTCTAACACTAAACAACCCTATTTGCGACGTTGCCAGTTATACCAGGCACACATAGGTTGTTTCAGATATTTTATTGCATACTCTGGTGTGAATGCGGCTAGCTTAAATATTACTGACGACAATAAAAAGGGCATTCTACAAAATATTCAAAAGGGAAGAAAACTAGAGCTAATTACTTTACTTAACGTGGTAATGGTAACTAACAATTTAAGTTGCTATGCTGTACTATAAATTATTTCAGCATAGAACTCTTTCAATATTATTTGGGTACCGGTAGTATTTTCTTTGAGGTTAACATAACTTAAAATGAAATGAAAATGGTTTATTTATACAGGCAAAGCATAGGTTAGGCATAAAGGTTAACTTTTTGATATCAGATACCCTAGTCAACAATAACTTAACTTATCAGGCTTTGTTGCGGTTTATCAGGTTTGACCAACACTTTTATTTCTCTTTTAAAGAAGTTTGGACATCGCTGTTTTGCTCTTATTTCACCATCAACTTAAGGTGTAGGCCTAACTTACATTTTACAATAGAACAAAATAGGCCTACTTTCATGATGTGGCCAAGAGGTATTTAGGTAGGCCTATTTTTGAAAATTTGGGTGCAGTTTTGCAGAGAACCCGCGATAAAACTTATTTAGTTATCAAAAGAATAACATAACTTGATAACTATTCAATTAGCCTAACTTAACTTAGGCTAAATTATTGTTCTTATGTTTTTTTTATGACTTAGGGAAGCCTTAAAATCGAGTTGAGTTATATGATTTTTTACGATTTTATTCATATATTTAATCAATAAAACAACAACAACAATCATAAGTTAGGGCCTTAGTTCTTATCACCGAAAAATAAAAACAACAGTAAGTTAACTAAAACCACAAACTAACTTATGAAAAACTAAGTTAACTAGGCCTAAGATAAAGCCTACCGGTTTCAAGTTATTATTTTGCTTTTTACGGGATTAACTTAAACATTGTTCTTTTAAAAAATCGATGCAGCTTTCAATAATAGGCTAGGCCTACTTAACTTAATCTGATAACTAACTTTACATGATTAACTTATAAAATTGGTCGTTTTCTCCATTTTTAATCGTTATAACTTAGGATATAGCCTAGATAATTAAGGATAACATAAACCATCACAAAAGCTTCTTTAATGTTCATGTTATTGTTTTTATAGGCTATATTATAACTTAGGCTATGATTTTAAACGAATCGATGTAATATTAATATCAAATTGGATAGGGTACATAAGCTATTGATATAAAGTTATAACTTCCTATATCGTTAATCATCCGATAATATATTGTAGGTTCTCTACGGAAGTCTACCAAACCAATATATGTTAGCCTATTAAGCTTACAACTAAAGTTTAAGTAAAAAAATATATAGCCTATATATTTACATACATAGGCCCTAAACTTGTGTACTTAGGTATGAGCTTGATAAGTGTTTAAAGTTAGTTATTAACTGTAGGTTAGCTTGAGTCTATTTATATTATTTTTGAAATGTTGGCCTACAGATTGTTAGAGAAACAGATTCACGCCTACTTGAAATAACTAGCAGCTTTTAGCCGATATCAAATTGTGACACTTTTTCAACTAAGAATAGTATATTTTTAAGAACTAATACACAGTACAGTATAGGGAAAATAGACCTATTAACTTACCTTTTTTTGTTGTTTTTCCCAAGCCGGGTCAAGTAATCCTTCCCGCTCCCACTCTTCTTCGGGCTCCATGTAACCGTCACCGTACTGATCGACGTTATTCATCATGTGGTCGTTCATTGCCACTGAATTATTCGAGAAAAATTAATGTCCTCAACACGGCAGAAAATCGAGGCGGGACTGAACACCTCCACTCGCACCGCAAACCCCTCCTTAGGGCGTCCTTTCGAGCACTTAACTCTTTCACTGAAATTCCCCGTCCAACGTCCCGTCTCCCGTCTGTTGTGTTGTGAGTGACGTCGCGTCTAATGGTCACGTGATTACCACAGACAACAGAATGTCGTCCAGGAGGGCCAACATTGAGATAATAGAAAACGGACTGACACCAGTTATTTAATAACATATTGTAGTCCCACACATATAAAACTCTTGAATGAATTTGTCTTAGAGCATAGATGAAACATATATGTTTTATCTATGAACCAACCAACGCAAGTAGACTTCCCATCCCATTATAAATTTGAAAGCTCGGGTTTCGTGTATATTTCATGTTCGGTAACACTGATCACTATAGTGTCAATGATTTTTTCTATTATTTCAGGCTTAATTTTATAGTGCATTATCTCACAGTGCCTAAAACTGGTTCAAATTTTTCTCTCAGTGCGTAAAAGAGAAAACTTGTTATAGTGCATAATAATCTCATTGTGAAACTGTTTTACAGTGTGCCTAATACCGATTTTGTTGCACCATGCATACGTCCTATAGTGAAACTGCCCCATAGTGCATAATCTCATAGTGCAACTGTGTTAGTGCCTAATTCCGATTTTGTTTTACAGTACCAAATCAGCAAAATTCCTATACTATATATAACGGAAAGGGGGAGCAGCTAAAAGAATATGCCTGGGCGACCTTCATTGATCTCAGCAGTTTGACTGTGTCGACCATGATGTCCTGCTCCATAAGTTGAAGTTCTTGGTGTCAAAATTAATACTTTTAAAACTGCTGAAGATATTTCTTAGCAACCTTAACCAAAGACATATGGTTTGCAGCGGGGGTCGGTGGTCCGTGTTTGCTTTAAGCAACTGTGGGGCACCAACCACAAGGCTCAGTCTTGGGCCCTCTGCAGGCTCTTCTTTAATCTCAATAAATGATCTTCCTTCCAGACTCAAATTTAACACTTACCTTTATGCTCATGATACACTTTGCTTACACACAAGAGATTTTTAGAATCTCTTGAGCTTTAGGCAAAAAACTTAGTAAACGTAGCAGCAGAATGGTGTTCTGCGAATAGCTTTTCAATTGTTAAACAATGAGAAAACCCAAACTGTTGTCTTTGGGACTTCGGTACTAAAATTCCTGAGGTACAATGTGACAAGGTCAAAGTTGTTAAGTTTGTGTGTGTTAAGGCAAGGCCGTAGCCAGGACAAACTTTCGGAGGGGGGCTGGTCAGTGTCAGTCATATCAAGGGGGTTTAGGGGTGTGGAGCACCCCCCAAGAAAGAAAGGGGTATGGGGGTAGGGGACCTCCCCGGAAAAAATCGGAATTTTCAAAGCCGTTTGGTGAGTTTCTAAAGCCATTTTTAACATCTACAACGTGCCCCAATTGTACATAGACTCCCATTTCACCTTTTGTTTGTCATGAGCAAGTAGACATTTAAAAAAATACCTAAACTATGACGATTGCATTCATGATTTTCAAAACATAATGTAGACTACGGCCATATCCTCCTAAAAGGAGTTTGGTGACTTTTCTAAATCCATGTTTAACGTTTAGAACTGTGTCCAAAAACCTCCCTTTTCCCATTTTATTTGTCATGTCATGAACAAGTAGACATTTTAAAAACTAAACTATGACGATTGCATTCATAAATTTCAAAACATACTCTAGGCTACGAAAATAATTTTAACTACTAAATTTGGGAGGGGGGGTTGACCCCCAACCCCTGGCTACGGCCTTGGATCATGGATCAACTCCCTGCCGTGGTCATATCATGTTGAACATCTCTGTACTACACTAAGCAGATTGACATTTCTTCTCAGAAAAATCAATGATGTAGTTCCTTTTGACTACATGAAAACTGCTTATTTTCCACGTTTCCAATCAGTCCTTGATTATGGAATAATCTTTTGGGGCAGCAGCTCTTATAGCACCTTGTTTTACTAGTCACGAACGGATGAGAACCTCTTTAGAGAAGAAGTGGGGGTCGTGACGTCACTCTTCTCTTGAGGGAACACCATTACCTTAACGAGACGTTATGAATCCATCGGCGTTCGTGACGTAGTTGATAGGGTATCGGACTGGTGTTCTCCAAAATTCGAATCCCGTCGGGGACACTAAATTTTTGTCAAAGATTTTTCTTAGATTGCTAATTTCTTAACTGCACATCTTTTGTTACTACACATATAAATACACATCAAAACAAATCATTTTTAGAATAGTGAATAATTTAAAGGGTTATTACAATTTTATTGAATACGTGTATCTAAAGTGGAAATGTATAGAATAATACTAACAATTTAATCTTGCATAACATTTAATAAAATATATATCACATTCATGTATAATTACTTAGCATTGCAAACTTGTATTGCAACTTACTCCACTTTATTACTAGATTTTATAAATATAAATTTACTTAAAAATAGATAATCAAAATTCCAATAAAGTAACAAGATATATTTTGGTTCTATAACTTATTTTACAATAATCTCAATTAACTTATATTTTGGTCTAGGTTTTATAGATGGGCTAGATAACCATTTGGAGAGCAATGATCTTAATTTAGGGGTTGGTTGGTGCCGGGTATGAAATTCTGATAGGCTAATTAACTTAATTTACACTAATACAGGCTACTAAGTAATGAAAGTAAAAAAAAATAGGCTAGAAGTTCTTAGCTTGAAACAGTCACTTGAATTTAGGCTATACAGTATCTTTGAATTCAATTAATAGGGTTGTTACTACAGTTCACAATGGACAAAAGATGGTGGTTGGAAATGAATGATGTTTTTTTTAATGTTTATGTTTGATATTACCAATTTCTGTTGAATACTTACTTATCTTCTTCTTGAGGTTTCTTTATCATCGATATTTCTATATGTTATGAATATTAATTTTCTAGACTTTTGACTATTTAATCACTGGAGACTTGGCTCCCACATCCATCTGTATCTAGATCTTCCACCACAAGCACATTTTTACTTCCTTTGTTTCAGCTTTTCCTCCAACAATGCTACTTCACACCTTTGAAAGTACATAGTAAATATTTCCTACTTAGACACCGTTTTACTTTAGAATATTATTTTTGAATAGTTTTTCTTCTTCACTAATTTACAGTATATTTAATTAAGTTTAAATATTTTTGAAAATATTTTAATTAATAAATATTGGAGGTTATTTAGTTACAATTCATAATCATACCAAAATGTGATAATTTAAATTTATATACATTCATGTCATATCTTAATGCTATAATGACATGTAACATTGCAGTATAATATACTATGTACTGAAAGTGCAGATAACATTCATGAGGTTTGCAGAGGCCATTGTTAATTCCTGTAACATAAAATAGTAAATGTAAGCTTTAGTAGTAAGACCAATGCATTTTTTTACAATGTGCTTGAACTGTTAAATTAATGTCCATAAACATGTATTCTTACACAAATACTCCATTGTTACTTAAAATTTTACTGCCTATTTTATGAAGACAAATAACATGGATTACTGTACTCGAAGAGGAAGTTGATTTAGAAATGTATATCTGTAAGTAATTTGATTTTGTATTATTATGATATAGGGCTAGTGAGTTTGGACACCAGAACATAATGCATACTGTGAATCGTTTAACCGTTATGTTTTACTCCACAATCTGAAAATATCGGTTGTTGTGGGCAGAACCGCAGAACTCATAGACAAAATTCACAAATTTGTCCAGATTTCCCGACAGAGATTGGTTTTTCGATATTGATTCCTAGTCCCAAAGAATACCTTGTATTAGAGGTCTGCGGGTCTGGGAACTCCATATTTTTGGGTTCGGAATAATGGTTGGCATTCGAGAGATCCGTACGGACAGAAAATGATTGATAGACAAGCTTTGATCAAGTCGAGCCGAAGCCAGCGCAAACTTTTGCGATCACGGAGGGCATTTACAAAGTTGAGCGAATGAAAATTGACGATTTTACTGTTATCATAGGAAATAATTATGTCCCGTGACTGCAGTAGATGCTCATTATTTCATCGTGACTACTGAAAATGTTCTCAATTTTGCCATGACCATGGATGATGTTTAAGATTTTGCCGTGATTGGGGAGGATGTACTCAATTTTACACTGAACGCAGGAAGACATTCTTGATCTTACTGTCACCACGGAAAATGATCATGGTTTCACAGCTACTACTGAAGATGTTATGAAGTTTGCCTTGATGGCAGAACATGTTCTCGATCTTACCATGACCACAGAAGACGTTCTCGATCTTACTGTCACCACGGAAAATGTCCATGGTTTCACAGTGACTACTGAAGATGTTATGAGGTTTGCAGTGACGGCAGAAGATGTTCTCCATCTTACCATGACCGCGGAAGATGTTCTCCATCTTACCATGACCGCGGAAGACGTTCTCGATCTTACCATGACCTCGGTAGATGTTCTTTATTTTTCCGCGACCGCGGAAGTTGTTCTTGTTCTTACCGTGACCTGGGAAGATCAAGGCACTGTAGGAAGATGCTCAAGATTTTGCCGCGACCATGGTAGATGTTTTTTTATCTTGCCGTGACTGCGGTAGATGTTCTCGATCTTGTCTTGACCGTGGAACATGTTCTTGATTTTGCCGCAACCTCGGGTGGTGTTAACGAATTCGCCGTGCCCATGAATGTGGATGTTTTGTTTCAACTAGAGGCATGTAACCAGTTCTCTTCAATACAAGTCACTAGTCAGTTAATTTTCAATGAACTTTTGCTGGTTTAAACAACATACTCTTACAATTTACTTATTGACAAGCTCATGGTTTTTAAATTCAAGGAATTTCCCCAACAGCAAAACTACAATTATGGTAATTTATCCAACAATAGCCGATCGGATTTGTCTGCACCCAAGCAGCGCTCAACCTGTAAAACTTGTTACGGCTGCAGCCAACTAAATTGAAACTTTAAAATTTAATTTCCACTGAACTGTGTTACCCCTAGTAAAATCAGTAACTTGTCAGTAACCAGTTTGTTCCTGAAAACTCACCCTGTCCACTTGGTGACCTTTCTATCACACCAGACGTATTGTCCCTTCGGCACATCTGGAGAGACTGGTAGCAAGGCAAGGTACAAAGGAGCATCTGCACCTGGAGCACAAGAACACATGCTTTACCCATCTGCGTGAGGAATGGAGGCATCAATTTTTGAGAAATAGTAGAAATAGTTAATTAATAATTTGTAAGTTTCAGATGATTTGTATGAAGAACTGCAAATTCTCATCCTATGTTAAATTTGGTACAACATTTATTTTGATTTACATTTTCTATACAGTTGCAGATAAACTAGTTGAAAAGCAAAATTCTATAACATAATATCAGCAAAAAATTACTAGTTCGATACTTAACATATCAGAAGCTTGTTGGTGGTTCCTAGAACTTGAGATGCAGTCTGTCAGTCTGTCCTTGACTATTGGGCTTTTAATAAACGGTGCTGGCTAAAGAAGTCAACCAGCTGATCTAAGTCTAACAAAGATATAACCGCACCCACTCAAGACTTGCGCTCAACACATCTTCATTGTAAAATACGCATCCTTGAGTGTCAGTACTGTATATATAGGAATTAATCAAATTAAGAATCTTTTTTTCCATACAAACCTTGTTCAATAGTGAGAGGTCCCTTGTGACTGGTCATGTCCGTGTCAACGTAACCTGGATGTACAGAGTTGACCACAATGCCGGGTCTAGAGTCTGCGTCAAACTGACGTTGTTGGATGATGGTTAAGGCTGAGACACCAACCTTGGACACATTGTAGGCACTGCAGCCCCAGCCATCGTCCTCGTTAGTGCCCGCTGCTGCTGACCTTCACACAAACACAGCTTTGCTACAACCATTACAATGGATGGAATCAGACCATTCCGACTAGTTGTGTTCAGTTTATACTAAAAATGAATATTTAATTAAGCCCGAGACAGAGTGCTGTTAATTACTGACTTGTACTGAGGTTGTATAGCCTACACCAAATAGAAAAAAAAAACTTGTACCTAGTGTTGATCCTGAGCCAAACTTCCATTATTGTTTCTATTCCATCATCATTATAAATATGAGTATCCATGATATTACAAAAAGTAAGAAAAATGCCTTGACATTTACATCACGCAGTGAGTGACTCATCAACTATGTTCTTCTTGAATAAAAACTCTACTACACATGGTCATAAAAGATGTAGGATCTTTATCTAACCCAACAGGGCCATTTAAAACGTTCGCTGTGGGCCACTCTCTCCGGTGAGTGCTCTAGTTCCTTTCTGCTACTCTGGATGCTCACTGGTGAGTGACAACATTGCCTACATTGCATCCAATTTCTGTGCAGCAGCACACTGGGAAGAACGGGCGTTATGTCTGCGTTTAGCTAGGAATGGGTGCTTAATTATTGTGGTGTAGGTTGGTAGTAAATTTCCCGTAAAATCTCCTTCTGTCAAGCTTATAAATCAACTTGTCCTGTGTTTCTCCCACCAATTGGCAATACAATGGGACTGGTTGGTTCCAGACAGTGCTGCTATTTGTGAGTGTTTCAGCAATCTACGTCGACTCTCATCGTAACGCAGACATCACCACACGTCATTTGCTATTTGTCAAATATTTGTCATTTGATATTTGTGAAATATTTGTGAGCCAAACGGGATCGCGTGACGCCGCACCGCACCGGGGCTACGCCTGCCATTGATAGGGCTGCAGCAAACGTGTTAAAGCACTTCATCCGAGTACCTGTGATCAAATTATTGTGCACAAGACAAAGCTGGGATGTTTTCCCTTATAACTTAGTCATATTTTTTGTGTGCTATCCCAGTTTATGAACTTGAATTAGGCCTATTAGATTCACCTTTGTTGTTGTAGGTAAGATGTTTGTGATACAACATCTTACTCGGGTGATACGAATATGTTACCTACAAGAACTCCAAGGCAACAACAACAAAGAGGTAAATCTATCATTTTAATAGTTAAATATCAGTTGACATTTTTAACAAGAAACTATTTAAATAAATATACTTACTTAACAAACTCCTTCATGAGTACGTTCAGCTGATCTACTGTGAGGTTCGGGTCGCTGAAGCGCTTCCTGAGAGTTTCCGACGGAATCTTACTCAGATGTCCACACGAACTGGACAAGTTGACCACTCTGGCGTTGGGACGGAGCAGCGGAAACAAAGCCTCGCAAACATCTAGTAGGGCAAAGTAGTTCACCTTAACAGTCACTTCGGCTTGCTCACTGAATGGTTCGGTGGCATTATTCTGCAACATTTTATAGGTATAGGTGATTAACAGTCTTCATTCCAATTTGGCAACATACTAAAATTTATTGTAGGAATTTGAGATTGAACTTTTTTTATAGCCCTATCCTTAGAAGTAATTAGTAGACTAACTTAGTGTTGCTCTAATGATTACCTACCTTGCTTATTTATAGTCAGATTAGAATAATCCATCGTGAAATCGTGGACTAATTTACCCTTTAGTAATCCCAAAACAAACTTTTGGTTGAAAGTAATTCCAAGCATCGTATCTAGTTCTAATTAATTGAATAGCCTAAGTTTTTTTTAAGAGACCATTGGAACTGATGACTTTGTTCTTCCCAACTAAAAACATTTCTTGGTGAAAATGCGGACAATAAGAGGGAATATTTTTGTTCCAAGGCGTTTCCATTAAGGTAAGCCTGCTAACTTAACAAAAGAGATTAAAATTATGATATAATTAATTCATATAATCATACTAATAAAACAATAATTTAAAATAGAGAACATCTGTATGAAGAACAAAAGGCTTCATTAGATATATATTTTAAAAATTTATCGGTGATAATAGTTTTTAATCTTCACCCTCACCTTATAAGCTATTGCAGCATTGTTAACCAACACATCTATCCCACCATGTTTCTTTTTCATAAACTCTGCAAATGTAGAAATGCTTTTCTTGTCGGTGATGTCCAATTGATGAAACTCAGGTTTGAATCCCAACTGCAACAAGGATTCAAGATTCTATGAGAATGAGATGAAATAATCTAATCCTATTGCAAACATCACCTATTTTTAGGAGAATTTAAATTGGGAGTTTAAAAAGATGTTATTTGACAAAAGGTCTAGGTTCATGGTAACAAGATCAAGGTTTAGACTGTTTCCTGAAGAAAAACAAAATAGTACTAAAAAAACTTAATCATGTACAAGAAAAGACAAAAACACAAAACTGTAGGACTACCTATATCTAAGTGGGTTTCAATAAGAAAAACAATCTAGCCTAGAACAGTAGGCTACTTATTGTTTTGAGAAAAATATTCACTGAATGGAAAATATAATAGAAAAAATATGTTAAGGTAGCAAATAATAACAAAATTAAAGAAATGTCACAAAGATCGAAAGATCAACTACAAACTTACCTTGTTGAGTTTAGCCACAGCTTCCTGTCCTCTGTTTACATCTCTTGCTGTCAGGTAAACGACCCCAGGAAACTTCTCACATAACCCTTTAAGTATGGCATACCCTATTCCTTTATTACTTCCAGTTACCTAAAAAAAACATGTTTTACTTTAGGGCTGATTGAAATACAGTGTAAGCCTACTCTATAGTTGATTTTCCACTTGATTAGTGTTCAAGTGTTACTGCTTATTTTATTTTTTTATAAACGGTTGCACCATTTTTGCAATTATCTTGCAGAAAGAAGAAGCAGAGGAAAAACAAAAAATCACAGGCCAGTACAAAAGTAGTGAAAACAAGAAAACTGGAAAACAAGACTTCAATAACAAGACATAAAAGATGAATAACAACTATAAATAACAAACTATGAATAACAAACTATAAGTAACAACTATAAATAACTAACTACGGTACCTATCTGAACAAGTTGACAAAACAAGAGATTCGAAAAACAAAACCAGTACAACAATAATGATACAATAACAATAATAATAATAACAATAATGATAGCAACTCTGTACAAGAACAAGATAACAACAGTAACAATAGGATAGACTATATTAAAAAAAATAAATAACAATGCAATGAATGGAATGTGGCCATTTTAGTGGCTGCCGTTTTCCAAGCCCGCGCGCAGGCACCTGCTTACCGGAATGAATTCTTCATTCTGGTTTCAGATTCAGATTTTGCTCGTATGCATACTATTTATTTAAATACATTTTGTTTCAATAGTGAAATATTTAATTTTTTCATCCTTAACTTACCTACTTTTAGGGTTACCACTAAGCGCTCTTCAGGAAAACTGTTTTATTTATTTAGGTTACACAAGTTTCTTACAATATGATGTCCAATTTTAATAATAAGTTTCGGTGGTTTCGGGCTCCATTCAACCCAATATAGAAAGAAACTCTAGGCAATCATTTCTAGGAGTTGCACATTCGTCAAAATTAGCATTTGAAATCTGACACAAACATTTGGCAAAACATTCGGACGAATGTTCGGCGATGGTGTACTGGTAGCTTAAACAGCTGAAAGTATATTACCATGGTTTCCAAAACAGTTGGTTTAACCACTAAAAATAGGCCTACAGCAATGACAAATATCGCTGAAGAGTGTGACAGACTTAATTCACAATACCCTTCAAGTGTCTAGCTAATTTCTTGTAAAAAAAAACTTCTTGATCAGCATTGTGCGTTTTATTAAATTAACGGAAAGTGGTGTTCGCCTATTGGGTCTGATGATGATTGGACAATCAAAATCGATCACCACTGACTATCTTTTTTGTATATTTACCGTCTTGTGAGTAACAGTATAAGCGTAAATATATGTTTTAAGTGTTATGAGACGTTTCTTTTATTTAATATCCGAAAATTTCTTGTCTAAAGTTAGGGCCTAGGCTATGTAACTTTATGAAGGAAGGTTCAAGCACTAGGATGTTGTAATGAGGTAGGCATATAAGTTAAGACACCCGAAACTTTAAGTTCAAATGTTATTGGACTTTCCTTGATGTTTGTTTGCCAATGTAACGCAAATTGTAGCAAAATCATCGACAGTACACAGCAACATGGGTCTACTTATTTGGGCTGCTTGTAAAATTTGGATCTAGGCTAGGAGAAATGCATAAAAGTAACTTAAATAAGTACAAACCACAGCTGTTTTGACAGATTCCATATTCAATTATTTTTCTTTCGGCTAGAGGTCGTAAAACTTTATGATATAAATTATGTTGCAACACTTAAAAAAGTCTTGATTCTTAATACTCAGGTTATGTAACAGTTAAAAAGTTCTACGAACGATGCCTACTAAGATAACATGAAAGCACTTAACCACGGACGTCCAATTACTAATAAACTTAAGTTTAAGCAAAGCAAATCTAATCTAGTTTTATTTTTGACAGGCAAAAACAACTTAAACTTGTGTTGAGTAAACAAAACTCTTGAAACCTAGCAACGAAACGAACACAGAACAACTGGTTTGTAGTACCGCTTTAGCTGAAGCCAGCAGACGGGAAAATCGAGTGACAAGACAACGTCAAGATAGAAGAGCTGCTGGTGAATTGTACAGGTTTTAAGCGGAAAATAGAACCACGGGGTCTCATAGTACATAATCCTACGGTGCCTATTCGCGAATTTGCCTTACTGTGCCTAATTGCCCTAATTCAGATTTAGTCATACAGTGCATGACTACTGTCTTTAAATGGTTAGGGTTCACTTACTCTACGAATCATTGACACAATGAGCCTCCAAATATGTAATTCTTAAAACACATGGCTCACTTACTCTACAAATCATAGTCTATACGAGCTTCGTAAATAATATTGAAGGTTCACTTGCACTACAGGCTCGTATACTATACGAGCCGATCAAAAATATCAAATAAATGAAGAGGGTTCACTTACTCTACAGATCATTGTGCCTATGAGCCAAGTGTATGAATTCTTGAATAATTCAGGAATAAGCTCGTATAGTATACGAGCCAAAATACTGAATTTAAATAAATTACAGGAGTAGGCTCGTATACTATACGAGCCTATTTCATGATAACTATTACACAAATAGAAGACGGCTCACTTACTCTACAGTTCATTGGCACAATGATCTGTAGAGTAAGTGAACCCTCTACAAATATTAGAAGGCTCACTTACTCTACGGTTCATTTAGCTACTCGTCGCGCGGTTTGCAGCGCATCGTTGCAGGCGTGTATGGTAAACCAATACCGCAGTTCTGCCGTTCTGCCTTACTTCTGCCGTTTACTAGTCTTGCAGCGTGAAAGAGAGCTTGTTATGTTAATGCATTGTTGAATTTTTAACTTGTGTACTCGTTGCTAGAAATCAAGCAATTATCAAGTACCGGTATTACAGGAGCTATTTTAAGAGTTATTACAGACTTAATTTTCAATTAATTAAAAAGACTCACGTAAAAGCTTATGCAACTAATGGAATTACTTACTGTGTTATGAACATTTCTATATAATTAAAGTTGTAAATATTTTAAAATTGTTTAGAAGATTGCCTTTTTAGTGTTTTCTACAAACGTGTCTCAACTTATACACATAGCCGCATTAATGTTAATGTGCATGTGCATTTTCGCCAATGATAATGTACCAATGTCGACCGTACCAATGTCTAAACTTTACTTTCAAATGGATTTGTTGTTAAATTTTTTTATATTTATTCATCATACAGAATTTAAATGTTTTTACGTGACAAAATAACGAAATATAACAAGCTACATTACATACAATATAATTTAGTCTTGAGCTAATGGAAAACTGTAGTTTTCGCATACTTGTCTTAACTTACAGATTCAATTACATCCTTTGTTTACCAAACAAGATATTTATATTTATTGAAAAAATAACTCATAGACGAAGCGACATACGATATTGGACCTACCATTCAGATTCGGCTAAGTGTTATCAAAATTCTCTTTGTTAGCTAGTGTTGACGGTGGTCAATCACTAGCTCATGTTCTTCAAGTTATTTTTGTATTACTATTTATATCATTTGCTTATTGTTCAACTTGAACAGATTGTAAATTAAATAAAGTAAAAAAAAAAAAATTTAAATTACGATGACAACTGCATTTACATAACAATCATTATACAAAGAAGTATGTTTTTGTGACAAAGAGGTCAAATAGAAATTTCTTTTAGAACTATATAATTTATAAAGACCGGCCTTTTACAGTAATATGGTTTACAGTACTTATTAATTGCGCAGTTGTTAAATGCCCTTATAAACATATGGAAATTAAAAATTTTAATTATTAAATCATTTTCTTTACAAACTCATGAACAATACAAAACGTTCGCTGACCCCTCATAGAAATAAAAAGTAAAGATGCGATATAAAACCTGCACATAGGAGAAATGCATTTATTTATTTTATTAGTCTTACGTTCATTAGTTACCTTTAGTTCACTGGCTACGTGAGTTATTCCTGGAACCGAGGGAGGCAGACCCTCCCTGCAAAAGATAAAGGATGTGCCCAGCCACGGTGTTTCAGTTGCCGCATGTGCCCAGTAAAGGCAAGCCCCTACAGAGGAGTAGAGGCTAGAGAGTTTTACACCCTCAAGAACTAACTGTGTAAATTTCTTTAGTGTGTTACGTTATATGAAAGATCCATGGTTTAAAAAGATCAAAATCACTCATAGAGAGGCTTACTGATGTGATGAGATGAGGGAATTTACTTAGCTAAATATATAGTAATCCTGGTAATTATATCTCAGTACAATTATATCTATTGTACCAACACGTACAATAGATATAAGATAATTCGATAAGAAATCATTTTAAGAGTTGTAGTATTCAAATTTTCCAAAGATTTCGTAATTGATCGTTATATTGCAAAACATCAGATGATGCAGAACAAAACATCATCATCATCATCATCTATATATATAATACGCTAAGCCGATTTTTGTAAACAGAACTCCTCCCTCATTTTTGGACCGATTTTAATGATTAAAGTGTAAAAAAAATTGGCCTGATCTGTAGTTTTGCAAAGTGTTTTTAAATTTTTGAAATCCTTATTAGTTTGGGCAGGATTATTCATCAAAGTTTGGTTTTCTCCCATAAGATTAACATGGAGGAATCTAAATATTTAATTGAAAACTTTGTGTCCACTAATTCGAGAGAACGGCTGGGCGTAGAAACTTGGTAGAGGTGTCCAAATAAAGGGCTTGGTCTGTAGATGAGTTATCAAAAGAAAAACTAAGTAAATTCCCTTAGGGCTCTGCCCCAGAAGCCTTTAAAGATCCCTCCACAGATTTGTTTACATTTTGGTAATGTGGATAATACTTTTTAATGAAACAGCTGTTAATTTTTAAACTGTATTTTAAACAACACACATTTATTAGGAGTTACTGAACTGTCCAAAAGAAGTATTTGCAATGTTATTTTCTGTTTGTAATAGTATATTACGTTACTAGTCCTGAAAGTAAGTGTTTACCGGACGAGTGTGGTCGTTCCCGTGCGAGACGAAGTCGAGTACGGGATTACCATACGAGTCCGGTACACACATTTTGGACGAGTTACGTACGATAGTTTACGCCATACTACTTAATCCGTACAAATCCTTATATATTTCCACCAACTAATGGACTAATAATCACTAGTCATAACCTCTGAGAGAGGTTATGTTTTTGTTTATAACCACTAATTGCCACGAAAATACAGGATAATCAGCTGATTGGTGTCCGGTAAAACTCATTGCAGAACAGTATTACGCAGTGAAACCCCATTTGAATAAGCTGGCGGCAAACAGCTGTTTCCTGGACTAAATCCTTGCGTGGAAAGTTCATCAAAATAATGTAGTGTGGCGTAAACTTGTTTACATAAAAGTTTAAAGTAGGAATAAGATATTAATATTAATACAATATTAATCATTATCCATTTCACTCATCTTCTAACAGTAACGTTCATTTACAAACGAAAGCTAGGTTAGGAAAATTCTTCAAAACATAACAATAAAATTCATGAGCACAGCTGATTTCTAGCGTTGAACGTCGTTGGCTCCATAGAGGTATATTTTTTAAGTTAATCACTCAATGTTATTTAAATGGGTTTCATTACATCACCGAGTGAGTTTTTGATACTTTACATCACTCGAGAAGTAAGGAAGTTGTATACATCACGCTTGGGATAGGGAAGTTTAACATGGCGGGTTAGGTAAAATTAATTTTCTTCTGTATCATGTCATGTTTTTCAATATAACGTTTCATTACGAAATCAGTTAAAAATCCTTTTATCACAGTAACTCTTTCAATTATTTCTTATTGAACTATCTTATATCTATTGTACGGGTTGCTGTCTGCCTTTTTCACCACTTTTGTCTATATTTTATCATATTATCTTTGACTATGAATGATATTATTCTAGACAGATCATCATAGGTTTATGAAATTATTGTCATACATGTTTTCAAACGTTGGAAAAATCTTCGATTGTGTAATGCAATACACAATAATACAAGTGCAAAAGGACACGTTGCCCATATGAGCCGTGTCCATATTTTGTTAAATTAATAATAGTTTAGAGCAACTGGATAAAACATTTTACAATATTTATGTAGAAAGTCATTAAGCTGGAAAACTTCAATTTACTGCAGACTTTTCAGAGAGGTTACTTTGATGTATTCATTCAACACAGAAACCTTGCCTAAAATGGTATACCTATCTTGAATTATTTGCAGCGGCCTATATTACGGACCGTGGCCATTTTGGCTGTAAACAATAGCATAAAGAGTAAGTACTATTTAAGCAGCTACTGTCGTGACGTAAAAGTCATATTCCTTTTAATTTAGATCACATCATCCTTAATAAGATACGTTGATTAACAATGCATGTAAACGTCAATATTTACGTAACAGCCAATTTACAGTATTTATTTTTATTTTTGGAAATGTTAAATTGCTATGTTATTTGCATTATTTGTTGCCAATGAAGCTGCGCGACCATTTAAACAAGGAGGTCCCTAAAAGTTCAAGAATAAAAGCCAACTTCACTTCAAGTACATTCCACTACACCTAACATTCCGTAGAGAGATTATATTGACAACTTTATGAAAATGATAAGGCTGAGACAGCTAACTGCCATCCCCCATGTCACGCAATTCCAGCTTTAACAGTAACCCCACAACCAATTTTTCAAAACTATGCTGGAGGGTTATTTGTTGAACAGAAGTACGATAAGAACTGACGCGTTGTGACGAAGGAAAACTCCCTTTGAAGTTAGAACGTGTCTTCTCAACAAGCAGATATTCTTTCTCAAATAAAATCATAGATTAATCTGCATTACACTGATGAAATCGCGGAAGTGTTTAACTACAAAAGATCCACCAATATTATTTTAATACTATTTAAAGGTTCTTCCAAAAGAAGAGATACCAGTTAACATACTAATAATAACTCCGATGACGTACGGCAAGGGAAATATTTTAATCATTGAATGATCAACCATTTTTGTAACTAAATCAATTAATATCATTATTGTTTT